GAGCAGCGTGTCGAGCTGCCAGCCCTTGTCTGTGCAGCGTGTCCAGCCCACGCCACGCTCGCCCGTGTCCTCCAGTGATGCTCTGTCCCCACAGCCAGTGCCTTGCCTGCCTGCCGCGCTCTGCCACGCTCTGCCGCGCTCTGCCGCGCTCACCCCTTCCAGCAGGCCTGGCAGCCACCCGCTCCCCCAGGTCCCCTGGGGGGGATCCCCTGCATCCCGCTGGCCCCCGGCCGTGCCAAGCAGCGTGGCCCTGCCTGCGCAGCCCCAGGGCAGCCGGGCCGTGCGGGACCCTGGGGCGGGGGGGTCCCATCCTGGCCTGCGCAGCACCGGGCACAGCGACCCGGGGGGGCACAGCCACCCCATCCCCACGCTGCCGTGGGGAGTGGGGCAGGCAAGGCTGGGATGTGGCTGCGGGGACCCGTGCCCTCCTCTCCCCCGTCCCACCCCCGCCGGGGGGCCCTGCCTGCACCGCATGGCGGGGGGGGGCTGCGGGCACCTTTTACCGCTGGCAGCCGGTGCAGGCTGCCTCCCCGCACGCTGCCGCGCTCCAGATCCGTCCATCACAGCAACCCGCTTTCATCTCGGGGTGCCGTGCACCGCTTCCCTCCCTCACCCCCATTCCTGCGCCGTGCGAGCGCCGTCCTGCCCGGCCCACCCCTGCCCTGGGGTCCCGGGGGGCTTGGCAGGGGCCATGGGCACCACCGTGTCTCCCGTGGGCACCACCGCGTCTCCCGTGGTCCCTCACCCCACCGAGGTCGGTCTCTGCCCTGACATCTCGCCCCACCCTGGCTGCTGCCAGCGCGGGGCTCGGCAGGGCTCCGGCTGGGCTGTCCCCCTCGTCCCCCCGGGGCCGGCAGTGCAGCCGTGGGGCCGGGTGCCCCCAGCACGGCCCTTGCGGGGGGCAGCAGCCTCCCTGGGTGCCGGAGGCAGAGCCCAGGGCTGGGGGCGCAGGTATGGGCAGGGGCTGCTCCTGCCCCAGCACCGGCCGGGCTGGGGTGCCAGTGCCCGGCGTGCCGTGGCGGCTTGGCACACGGCACGAGGAGCTCCCGCCAGCGGGGAGGGCGCTGCCGGCCCCCCCCCGCCCC